CCACCCTCAGGTCTGACAGAGTTACTGCAGTGTTACAGCTCCACCCTCAGGCCTGACAGAGTTACTGCAGAGTTACAGCACCACCCTCAGGCCTGACAGAGTTACTGCAGTTACAGCTCCATCCTCAGGTTTGACAGAGTTACGGCAGTGTTACAGCTCCACCCTCAGACCTGACAGAGTTACTGCAGTTACAGCTCCACCCTCAGGTTTGACAGAGTTACGGCAGTGTTACAGCTCCACCCTCAGAGTTACTGCAGTGTTACAGCACCACCCTCAGGCCTGACAGAGTTACTGCAGTCACAGCACCACCCTCTGGTCTGACAGAGTTACTGCAGTGTTACAGCTCCACCCTCAGAGTTACTGCAGTTACAGCACCACCCTCAGGTCTGACAGAGTTACTGCAGTGTTACAGCTCCACCCTCTGGTTTCACAGAGTTACTGCAGTGTTACAGCTCCACCCTCATAGTTACTGCAGTTACAGCTCCACCCTCAGGTCTGACAGAGTTACTGCAGTGTTACAGCTCCACCCTCAGGTCTGACAGAGTTACTGCAGTGTTACAGCTCCACCCTCAGGTCTGACAGAGTTACTGCAGTGTTACAGCTCCACCCTCAGGTTTGAAAGGGTTACTGTAGAGTTGCAGCTCCACCTTCAGTCCTGACAGAGTTACTGCAGCAGTTAGAAACTCCTTTCCAAGGTTATTTTTAGAAAAACCGTTTCCTCGTGGACAGGACGTAAGTCCTGCTGGTCCTCTTGTCCCTGCTGCAGGGCAGGACAGATCAGAGTGGGACAGGTGAGAGCTCACCGATGCAGGCGTAGCGCCCGTCCAGGTACGTCAATTTGAAGCCCAGGTGACATCTGCAGAGGAAGCTGCCGAACGTGTTGATGCACTTCCTGCGGTGGGGACACGTGTCTCTGCCCAGAGCGCACTCGTTGACGTCTGCGGAGACAAAACAGGTCAACAAGAAGGAGTCTCGAGGTCAGGACAAACACGTCCTCAGAGAGACGGGGACTGACCCACGCAGGAACGTCTGTCTGGACCCAGACGTAACCCTGGAGATGGACAGGTGCATCGCACCGCCCCCTTCATGACCTCACAGCCGTACTGACAGTTGGCATGGTAACAGGTCCTGACATCTGTGGGTCAGAGGGAAATACAACAACAACAACAACAACAACAACAACAACAACAGATCCAGGTGTGTGCAGGTGAACTCACTCCTGCAGCTGCCGTCGGCCTGCAGCGTGTAGCCGTCCTGACAGAAGCACTTGTAGCTGCCAGGTGTGTTCATGCAGCGGTGCTTACAGGGGCGGGGCTTCAGACCGCACTCGTTCAGGTCTGAGGGAGAGAGGGGGCGGGGCATCAAACATTAACCTGAGGTCTGTCCTCCTGTCAGCTTGTAGGATTCACCTCTGACCTCTGACCCCGTTAGTCACCAGGACCATTGTAAGTGTGTGTGCACAGAAGTTACTGATCTTATGTGGACTTTAACCCTCCTGCAGGCCCCATCACTGCATACCTTCTTCTGAAGAGGTCTGATTCAGTTTGAAGGTTCTGCTCAACTTCAGGGATCCACTGTGTGT